ATCGTTTCTAAAATGTCAAAATCGGGCCTGGTCTCCATAGCTTCTGTCTTTCTTTATAACATTGATTTAACAGACCACAGTAGCCTGATCCTCATTCACCACAACTGCCCTTTCCTTGAATCCACACCAGGCTCCACACGTTGCTGCAGCTCTGTTCTGTACGCCTGTGTCGTCATAGGCCCGTGTGCACACTGCCTATTGTACTTTGTGCCCTGGACGTATTGGTTCTGTATATGTCATTGTCTCTTTGTGAATGAAGGCTTTCTTTTCTGTGGGCAGATAGGACATGTGCCGTACATGTTGCACCCACAGAGCATAAAAGCAGCGTAATCACACTCTGACCAGTTCCTCCTTCTGCGTACATAGGCACACATACCCCCCACAGCTCACATGTCCCCTGTGACGTGTCGTCTTGTGCTTCAGTCTGATTTCAAATGTGATTTCCTGTTCAGAGAGTAAACAGTCAGACCTGGAGCTCACAAAGCCCTACACATGTGCCCCTCACACCTGAGAGGCAGCTGCCGTGTGCTGTCCATGTGTATCCAGCACAAGCCAATACTGACGAAAGAGGCAGAAAATAAACAAGGGCTCATGGGGCGTATTGTAATCCCAACTTCCTGTCACAGTCAGTGCCTATTTACAGCCCAACAATAGGCCGAACACAGCTTGTGCACATACACTTCTTCTATTTGTTGAATGATCTGTATATGCCATTTACACAAATGGGAAAAGTGGCTAACTTAAATTCTATTTTAAGAACCACTATCTCGCAAAAAAATTCTCATCCTATAGAGTAATATATATGTTCTCTTAAAGCTGTCTGCTTTCAACATCATGCATAATTATGTTTTTTTCTGTTCATTCTTTGTCGTTTAATTGGTTTCTGTGGGAAAATGTCAAAAATTAGTGGAAGATGTTGATTTTTACTTCATTCAAGCCAGATCTATCTACTTATTCACAATAATGTATTCAATTGTTTATTAATACATCAAAATGTGTGTGATTTTGCCAAAGGTTTTGTGAGTTATTTTATTCAGATACATTCAGTCTTGAGAGCATTTGCCCTTCTCCATTTTTAGCCGACTAATCGACTGGGCAGCCCTAAATGTCATCTCTTCTAGACACCTGTATGACAAAATAATTAGACCATAATTGATTTGTACTGACAAAGTCCATATCAGTTTTTGTGACAGTTTTTGTTGCATGTAAATGGGCCCAGGAATACAGAGAAAATAACTATTTAGAATGTAGCGACGTCACATGACCCCAACCTATACAATTATTTTATGTCTTGAGTCTTCGGGGGCGACAGTGACTCAGTTGGTAGAGCATTGTTCCTTTGAGCCTTGAGGTCGTGGGTTCGAGACCTTCTTCATGACTCCCACTGATGTCTGCTGTCGTTGTGTCCTTGAGCAAGACACTTGATCCCACTTTGCTTGAAGCCCCCGCTGAAAGATCAAGGCTCCTGTGGACTCACCACCTGCAGGAGGATCAGTGAGGGGCTGGTGCTATGTGTACTGGGTGGCATCTCTGATTGCCATCCCCCCGACCCAGAATTGGTTTAAGGGGAAGAAACTGGATGGATGGAAGGATGGAATATTCTTCTGTGGATCTGATGTTATAGTATATATTTCTGTTCACTTCTGAGTTTGCTTTTTGAAGTCTATTTGGCCACATCGGTCAATAATCTGTCTATTGTGCAGATCTCCTGTTGAATGTATGGCTATAATCAGGTGACAGTTTCTGAAGTCGAGTTTGGGAATGAGAGAGCTGCCGGTAAAGTGTGGTGGGCAGCAAAACACTGGAACTCAAATAATCTCTTTCTTCTCTTTTGAAGTAAGTTCAAATGCTCTTCAAAGAATGTCAGTCCGTATGACGGCACTGGGGGGGGGGCCATATGCCCCCATACTGACTCGGGCACCAGAGACAGGATTATGTAAAGAAGTAGCCTCAACATTATCTGTAATAAATGAGCAATGACGATTTGGCCCAGTTCAATATTTCTTGCTGTCAATTAACTAATCCACTCAAAGTAATACTAAATAAAACCTATATCACTTTATTTTGTAACTCACTGTATACAAAAAATATTCTTGTTCTGCAGACATTGTGGGTGTATTTTGTGGCACCACCTCTATGTGAAAGCCAGATCCTGTCAGACCTCTGAAGCTAAGCAGATCATGGCCGGGTTAGTGCTTTGATGGGATACCTCCGGGTAAGCTCCAAACTGTAGTTGTGTCTTTAGGCAAGACACTTTACCCACATTGCCTAAAAAGGTCTGGTGTGTGTGTGTGTGTGAATGGTTGGTGGTGGTAGGAGAGGTCGATGACTCATACTGCACTAGTAGGAGAGATTTGTGGTCAGAATCCAATGTTCGCAAAGACTGCACGCTTGTAACAAAGGCAAGACATTTTTATTATTTATTTTAAAGCTGCAACAAGTAAATGGATTAATCGTATCTAATCAAATCATTTAATTAATTTAATTTAAATGACAATAATGAAAAAAATGTCTCACTCTGGCCAAGTTGTTTTATTGTTATGTGTATATACTTTTTGACATATGTAATATTTCATCTATATTTCACTTATGACACTTTAAACTAATTGATATTTTAAATTGTAAATTTTTGCGCTACTGTGTCCACGTAACTTTCCTTGTGGATCAATCAAGTTTATCTAAAGACAAAGAAATACACAATATTCAATAAAAATGTCCTCACTTACTGTATTATAATCTCACATTAACAAAATTGTGAAAATTTAAAATTTCAGCCCTGCGCTCTCTTTCTTTACGTCCTTGTTTATGGTAAAGTACTTTGTTAATAGAATTTATAAAATTTATTTGAATTTATTTACTTATATGCAACAAAAAGTCAATGTATTTTGTGTCAACCTAAAAAAACGAGTGAATTCCTTTTTAAAATGGGTGTAAAAGTGGTGGCATCCTTATAGTGCATGTGTTTGTGCGCTTGTATGAGGGACGTGGAGGTTACATAAAGAGGATGCGAGTGTTGGGGAAGAAAGCCGAGCCTCGTTACATAAAACAGCTGGAGCCGGACAAAGGTTAATAAAAATGGAGCCTCGTACTGTAGGCCGCTGCCATGAGAGAGAAAGGCCATTACATAAAGAGATAAAGATGGGCCGAGTTATCAGAGGGTTTGGCGTTGTGTAAAGAGATGGGTCTATTGTGCGGAAATAATATCAAATGGATGGTTTTGTTTGTACCATTCCAAAAATACAAAAATAAAAAGAATTCTGATGTTTTTCAATGAGTAATCTAATTTTAGTCATTTGTTAACTGGTGTTTCTCATACAGTCAGAACAGAACGGTGAAAAATACACACAGCTCGAGAATTTTATTTATAACAGTTTGGTATTGAGGTTCCAGCTGGTATTGAAATGGAGTTTACAGTTGATGAGGTATAATGGCAAAACAAGACAAGGCAAGGATTTTTTTTTGTATGGCACAGATTTATTTTATAACGCAGTTCATACACAAGGCAACTCAAAGTGCTTAACTTTGAGTCATTCAAATCTTAAATTAGTATTAGGATTGTCCTTCATTATTTGAGATAACTTATTTTGGTTATTTCTTTGTTGAGGAAGTTGGAATCTATTTATTAGGCTTTTCCCATGTTTCATTAAAGGACTTTTATTCCACAAGGTAACAAGTGCCTGGATCTCTATTTTTGACACTGCGTTTTTCCGTCTCTACTCTTCATGATCATGATATATTTTGATCCCCTGAGGCTCACTTTTGCTCCGCTGTAAAGATATTACTTTATTACCGGAGAAAGATACCGTTTCTGTATTTTAAACCATTTCTGTATTATATTTCTATTTGTATCGTTCCCCAGGATGAATATGGTGCCAGCTTGACTGTGCTAATGAGGATCCACAATAAACAGACACACAGTTTGATCTGGAGCTGTACAAATATCGATCAGGGCAATCAGGTTCACTACAGCTGTATCTGGGTCAAATTAAGTTGAAATCTATTCACGCCTCAACCGCTTGATTAACTGGCTCCTGAAATAAGTGGTAGATATTGATACTTCAACAAAAAGTCAAACCGGTACACAGTATTTTTCGCACCAATCATTGTTATATCAAAATGTTGACAGTGTTGACCCTAACCCATATGTTAGGGTTGTCAAAAGTATCGTAAATCAGATATTAATCCATTCTAAATCTCGTAATCACAGCCCTCTCGCTTCTCAGTAAGAAGGTCCTGCATTCAAAATTCCTGTCAGAACAAGGCTTTTCTGGGTGGAGTTTGCATGTTCTTCCCGTGTTTTTCCCTACCAACATTAGGTCAAATCCACCAGCTTCTGTTATCCGGAGGAAACATTGTATAACTTTTAAAATAAAACCTTGTGGTACAATTTAAATCGAACAATAATTGTGTAATATGTTCATTGTCCTCTTTTTTTTTTTTGATTTTCACAGTATCAATTAATCTTTATTTATAGAGCACTTTTCCTACACAGGGTACACAAGCGCTTCAGTCTATACCACACAAATCACAAATCATCACATAAAACAAACACCAAAATCACCTTTAAAACACAACACAATCATACAACAGTACATTCAAATGCTCTGACAAATACACAATTTCTTTCGGGATCAAAAAAGCATGTATCCATCTATCTTACAACAGAGAAAACACCGGGGTTGGTCGCCAGCGGTGGTGGCATTGTTGAAGCCGACCTCTGATCTTTTAATTGTTTGTTTATCCCAGAGCTCAACATCACTCTGCGTCTTTACTCTGATCCGAGTGCTTATCTGCAGAATATCCATCCTCTTATAGATCTGCTCTGCGCAAATGTCACACCACACTATTTAATATCTATCATTAAAAAGGGCTTATTAGTGTGTGATTTTGAGAGTGCCTGGCAGTCGATATGTCAAGGCTCAATTTTAGTTTTAGATTCAATGCCTTTTTTGTTCCATTGATCTGTTGTGTTGTTAACCTTCTTGTTCTTTGCGTTGCAGATATTACTACAATAAGCGGATTCTCCATAAGACCAAAGGAAAGCGCTTCACCTACAAATTCAACTTCAACAAACTGGTTTTGGTCAACTATCCTTTCATCGACATGGGCTCCACAGGTCAGTATATAGTGCCTTGTCTGTGGCTTTTTAAATGTGTAAAATCTATACGGTATCTGTAATAGAGCTGTGAGAAGTCATTTTTTTATTAAAAATAGTCTCCAGGAGTTTGAAGGCACAGAGATTTCTATCACTCCCCTGCGTTGTTCAGCTCGTGTACAAAGTCAGAAGCATCTTGGAGCTGTACGTGAGCTGACCACTAGGGGCAGTCGTGAAGTGTTCTACGAGTATTTTTGAAAAAGTTGCCATAACAAATGGTAAAAAGTTGTTGCGCACCTGCTAATACTATCATGCAGTACCGTATCGACTTCCATTCAATTGGCAAATCTAACATACAGAAAATTATCAAATAAAGATACATTTATCTCAACTTAAAATAATTTTAATTTTCTCCATTGTTCAGGCCCTCACACCGTCCTCAGAGCTCGTACCACAGAGCTTATAAACATGCTCGATTTTCACCTAATCCAACGACATAGCAAGATTGCATGGGATCTGGGATTATCTCAGAAAGCTATTTCTATGAATTCATGTTAGAGTCGACAAAACAACTAAATATTATGCATAATAACATGCTCTGTCGATCAATCGTACAAAGCTCTGTTGAACAATCAGACCGAGTTTGTTATAAAAGATCCTTGGAAAAACTCTGTCAGACCCAAACTAAACTTACTCTAAGGCCGAGCTCTACACAAATACAAATTCATGCAGAAAATCACTTGGGATTGTTTCAAGAATAGTTTAATCTGCATTAAAAACAGTGGTGAGGACTTCAAATATAAAACAAAATTACAAAAATGTACAAAAGTAAAAGAATTGTAGTATGTGTTTAATTCATTTTATGATACATATCTAAAAAATGTGAAAATATAAATGGATAATCTGTACCGCACCTTCTAATTTTCTCATGACTCCAAATAAAAACTCTTAATAACCCCCAATTTAAACCTATTGTCTTCAGCGCGTAGGTTAGGTCCAAGAATACCTTTTCTTTGAATGAGCGTGACTCCAGCGGTGAAATAAACTGGTGGAACAGGGGTAATTACGTTACACGATGCTATGAATAGGATCGAGTCCACGTGGCGCATCCTGGTTTATCACCGCGGGGAGGATGGGAAAAGGCGTAGAATGGGCGTCTTAGAACACTTTCGATTTGACATGCGTCCCACGTTACGCCTATGTTATGTTACGCGCTTTGCTGGGGGTAAGACATCATTAACTTACGCATTTACTTAATGATAAAAATAATTAATTAAATGTTTTTTCCATCTTCTCTTCAAACACAGGAAGTGGCGTCCCTCAGAGCGCGCCCCCCGTCCCGACTGGTTCCAGCACTCACTTCCGGTTTCCGCCTTCGACTCCATCTGAGGTCCTCTCTCCAAACGAGGACCTCCGCAGCCCAGGGGTGGTCTTCAGCTCTGTAGCTCGGCGGGCCCGGGGGTCTGTGAGCGACTGCAGCGACGGCACATCGGTGAACTCTGAGATCGAGGAGGGTCCCACCGCGCCGGCCGAGGAGAGAACCATGGACCGGGGAGGCTACCGCGGCATCATCCACCCGCGCATCAGTCACGACTCTCTGTTCAGGATGTATCCGGGAAATCCTGCAGTGCACCCTAGAGGTCCCTCCAGTCACCGCGGCCATTCTGAACCTCTGTCCCCGTTCCCCGTGTCCCCCCTGCCCGGTCCCGGAGGAGTGAGTCTCTTAGCTCCGCCTCTGTCTCCTGCGCTCTCCATGACGCCCAACTCCCACCTCCCCTACACCCCCTCCCCCGGTCTGTCCCCCATGCTCAGCTCGCACTTCTCCTTCAACCCGGAGGACATGAAACGCTACCTGAAGGCCACGCAGTCGGTGTACAACTACGGCCTGAGTCCCCGAGCGTTCATACAGTACCCCAACATCATCGTCCCGCAGCCGCACCGACCGGAGAAGTCCAGTCTGGCTTCAGAGCGGGGGCCGGCGGAGAGGACAGGGGGAGACAGACACCACCATCCGCCGCTGGGTCACTCCGCTCACCACCTCTCGCACCATCCGCACTCCGCACACCCGTCACACCCAATGCACCACGCCCTGCACCTCGGGGAAGAGCCACCTCACATGTCTCCGTTCAAGTTCAAGCTGCAGCCGCCGCCGCTGGGCAGGAAGCAGCGGGACGGCCAGGGCCAAGGGAAGCTCCGGCAGAGTTCTCTCTCCTCAGGCTCAGGGTCGATGTCCTCCACGTCTGGCATGGGCTCCTCACTCTCCTTCAGCAGCGACTTGAGTTCGGCCAGTGGCTCCGGCTTGGTCTCAGCCTCGTCTTCAACGCAGTCTCTCAACAGTGCTGGACTCCCAAAAATCAAGGTGAGTGAAAGCTCAAATGTGAGTCTTAACAGGACCCGTTACTCTCCTCTATTTGTGACGTGGGATTCTAGTTGGTACAGTCACTTTAAACAAACAGAACCGAATGAGCTCAATTTAAACAGTTTTATTATGTTTTAATTTTTCCATACACAAGATGAGTATCTAAATTAATTGCTCATCTTGTGTGCTCCTTATCACCACTGTTCTTTAACTTGTGGTGCAACACTGAAATTTCCCCACTGTGGGACCAATAAAGGATATCTTAATCTTATTCATCACTCTCTAAATCTTTTTCACATCAAAACTTGCTTGAACAACACAACTTTTGTTTTCATTCAACAGGTGGAGCCCATCTCTGACATTGAATCAGAAGAGGAGGTGGAGGTCACTGACATCAGCGACGAAGACCCAGACGAGAGGGATGAAGATTTCGAGTTCTCTCGTTTCTCCAGGGCCCCACAACACCACCACCAACCCCACCACCACCTCCACATGACGAATGGCACATCTCATTCCCATCACTCCCACCCTGAAGACGACCTGGATGAAGACGTCTTTAAAGCCCCTGCCCCTCCTCCGCCTGGCCTCATGCCCTTCTTTGCCTCACAGCACATACAGTCAAACGCCCATCGCGGACCACCCATTCTGAAGACGGAACCGGCAGAACAAGAGGACGTCAGCCCTCCTCCTCCTCAGCCACAATCAGCAGGAGCCACCCAGACCAAGTGCATTCCGCTTAAACTTCGCTTCAAGAGGCGCTGGAGTGAAGACCAGCGCATGGAGGCGTCGCAGGAGGAGACCGACGATAAGAAAGTGCGACCAGAGGAAGAGCGGATACGACGGACACATTGTAATGGGCGAGTGGAGGTGGAGGAGGACGGGACAGGCAGAGCAGAGGGAGAAAGCCCCCCTCCGCTTGTGTACGAAGGGTCTTTAGCCACTCCCCTGGTCCCACACCGCAGGGTGACTGCAGAGCTACATCGTGCCACTGCACAACTGTCTCTGGAGAACAAAGAGTGCTGATGAAGACACTGGCGAACACTACTGTCCTACACTCCCTCACGTGATCCAGGGATGTGCTTTAAGGAAAGTCCTTACATTACGGTGAGGATCAAAGCGATATGTGCGGAGTAAGAAGAGTTTTCTTAACTACTTACACCTCAAAGACACAAGCTGTTTAACACCTTAGTTTTTAGTAGTTTGATCTTCTGTCTGTGTTAGGACTCCTAGTGGCAGGAATACTTTGGGAGACTGTGAGATGCTACTTTCTCCAGCTCCGTAACAGGTGGAGACCTCCCCCAATGCTCTTTGGCTGCAGATGCGTATATCCCGCCTCACATCCTCAAGGAACCCTTTCCCTCTAAACAGTCACAACAAAACAGCGCTCTCCCGATGACTTCAGACAACTGGACTTCAACAAGTGCCTGTTTGTACAGTGACACAGAGGGGCGCATTGTAGGGAGAGGACTTTCTCTAGGAATTCCTATAGAATTTATGATTGGCTGAAAAAAAATGGTTTATCAGGAATGTGTGTCCATAGTTAGTTAAGAGTGGGTGTTTTCTGACAAAACATTTCAGAACAGACTAAATATGACTCACTCTACTCAGGGAAGCGTTTAGCTGTATGTTCATAGGATCCATGCACAAAACAAGCAGAGGCAAAATCTGAAACCAAATCAACCATTTTAACATACATTTCGGTGACGCACAACTTTACAGCACAAAACAGCTTAAAGCTAAGTGGTCATTAGTGACTATTCAAAGCTATTGTATCTGCTTTTCTCTGCTTTTTCTCTATCTTGTGGACCACTTGTGGAAATATGCAACGTCCACGTATTCGAAAATGTTTCCCCAGTGCAGTTAGTAAGTGAAGTGAGTAAAAATAGAAGAGAAAAGATGTATGTTTAGAGGCATTGCTGCTATGGGGGGACAAATGAAGGCAGAAAAATATATAATCTTTGCTTAACGTCTATTTAACAGTATGTCCTTGCAGCACACAACACACCAGCCTGCGAATTCTGACAAAGAGTAAAAACCAGCATATATCCTTATGAATCCCACATGCACAACACTGCCTTTGGCTCCAGCTGCAGAGTTTGTGAGCTCCTCCACGAAAATCAGAGAAAGCAGACGTAACACTGCCTTTCTATGCCTTGTTTTATAATAGCATGTATGAAAAAACCAAACACGCAAACAAATTATACATTTATATATTTGAAGATGAAGTGATTAAGATTTTAAACAGCCATACTGTTTTGAATATATAACAGATTTCAGGAGTTTTATATTTTTCTTTTAAAACAAAAAAAAATGTTGAATATAGCCATACTAGACTGAGCACAAACTTATTTAAGGAAAACAGGTGTCTCCATAATTCATTTCAGACACACATAACCTGTGTTTGAAATCCATCCTATCACAGAGCTCTCCTGGACAAATAAAGAGGAAAGACATTGGCTATTTTCAATTTTCTTTTCTTTCGGTTGCAACGTTCTTTTGGCCAGTTTCCCTCCAATGTCCGTAGCTGCCCTTTGACCTCTGTAAGGAAGACATAGTAAAACATTCCTGCAAGACGAGGTAGTTCCCCTCAAACTATGCACACATGCTCAAAATCCATTAACCTTTACTTAGCCACCTATTGTTACCAAAAGGAGAAATATTATGTGATTACTTTTGGCCATTCAAAATGAAAATGAGACTATTTGCTTTGTCATTCAATGATTTAGAATGTGAAATATTATCGAAGTCGAATTTATATGGATGAACAAGTTTGAAGGGTAAAAATAGCTTTCAGCCTGTAACTCCCCATGCTACCACCAGAGGGGTCGCATGGAGGATTCAGTTTTTATGGGGTTTTTGACTCAATCGAAAAAATCTACGGCTTCAATCATAGCCAGGCGATTGTAAAGGCCGTCATTTCACTTGAGAAATTACTAAAACAAATTTGTGGGCAATACATACTTTTTTATACTGTCGAACTAGTATTTCAGGAGTGAGACAGGAGTCACAGGTTCGTGCCAGAATTTTTATCTAAATGTTACTCCAGGTCTGTTTGCTGATGATTGAACAATTTTGTACCATAGTGAAAATCTCAACAACAACAAAAAGTTTAATTTTCATAATATATCTCCTTTAACATTTTAGCCCATAGATAGACAGGAACAGTAACCGGCTGATCTTTCCCCATACCCATAAAACCCACCGACATCCACACCAAATATTGTGTTTTTTGACTGTAATCATACTGACAGCTGCCTTATTAGCCCCGTATCCTAATGAGTGAGGCACCCTTCATCCCCCCCCCCCTTTTCAGGCAGTAGACTTTATATACAGTGAAAGCACAAAAAGATTGTTGCTGTCAAAATGTTATCTCCTTTTGCTTTCATGTTTTCGCTTCTTTGTCGTGGCATCACATTTCAAACTCTCTATCCAATCCGTGTCAACCCGAGCCCAAACCATTTCTTTTAAAAACAAATGTAATATAAATAAAAACGTGTACATTTTGTGAGCTGAAAGAGGAACAACATTGGGAATTTTGAGAAAACTATAGCGGTTCTATTGACATGTAGATGGGGTAATTTTACCTTTTTTCACGTATTGTAAGTTTTGTTTTATATTCGTTTCTCTTGATTGTGTATATTTTATCATTTACGGAGGACTTTACCATTTTAAAATAGTTGAAAATTGAGTTGTATTGTATTTGTTTTTTGTTTTTTTGTGTAAATTTATCCCTGTTTTGGTCATTAGTTTTGCCTCGTTTCCCAGAGCAGTTGCATAACACTGAGATGGATAATTAATACTATAACGTAACTTTGAATTTCTCTACTTCTGTCATGATTTATTTGAAAACTTGTAATTAAAATGTAATCATGGTTATTAAACCAGTTAAAACCCAGAATGTAAGTGACTGTTGTTTGTCCTTTAATGTAATGCAATTTTAATGACGGCAATTAGGGAGTGAGTGGCTTCAGTTTGGCTGCAATATGAGTAAACAAAGAGATTATCTGGTTTTGTTATTGGCAGAAAGGCATGTGAGGTCTTGTTTTCATATGCAAATGTAAGATGTATGTATATTTATATGATTTATCTGGTTCATTGACCAGTCGTCATGCGTGGCTAAAGTTGGTCTACTTATTTTGTGCCTTTGCAGCAACATCTTAGCAGAGTAGGCGAGGCACGGCAATTTTTTTTTAGCACAACTCATACAAATGCTTAACAAAACAAGATTGAAAAAAATAATTGTATGCACTTTTTAACCAGGATTTGAACATTGTCAGAGTCTCACATTTTCAGGAAGACTATTAGAGATTTTAGCTGTCAGAAATATGAAATGGTGCCTCCCCATGTTTAGTCTTGACTCTGGGACCAGCAGGAGGCCATTCTCTGCGCTCCTCAGAGTCCGAGTTGGTTCATATGGCACTAACATGTCGCAGATGTACTTACTGTAGGTGCAAGGCCATGGAGAGACATTTACACAACCAGAGCTGCTTTAAAGTCTATTAGAACTATTGGACTGGAACTCGGAGAGGGTGCAGAGACCTGGGAACTGGACTAGATCATTTCAATATACTGTAGCTCGAGAACATAACAGGCAGGCAGGTGCAGTTGTAATTCTGACTTACATTTAAAAATAAAGTTGTGCAGTTAAATATGTTAATTGTGTTAATTATGGGGGCTTCGTCCTGTGACCAACGTAATGTTTTAAACATTCTGCTGGAGTGGTCAGAAATAGAGCTGCGCAATTATGCAGAATTGTATTTTCATGGTTGCAATTACCCTGACACAAAGACTGAAAACATCCTTAGACAAAAAAGGGTTTAAAGATAAGCAAGAAAATGACCTGAATGTGGACATTTTCAATTCATTAGATTCTTTAGAACATTTCTCAATGGAACATGTATCTTTTACCTCGTCATGCAGACGCATTTTTTTCTCATTCTCACTGATAATTAAAAACAAAATGTGCACAACTCAAGCCTGACTATAATTTAGTGAGAAAAGACCATGTCATTCAAGACTTTTTATATATTTTTTGCAGTGAATCTATTATTTCTACTTCAAATAGGTTAAGGGGTTTATAAAGTCTGAAATGGAAATTGTGAATTAGATTTTGTGTGTGTATTAACCTAATTTTTACTCAACTAAATTAAATTATTGAAGTCTGTAGGAGTCACAACCACAATGGTGATCAAACAATTGTATATTGTAAAATTGTGCAGCCCTGACCAGAAACATTGAGGCACTTCACTGGTGGAAAATAATTCATTCAGATCTTTACCGACATGAATTCCTCCCAAGATGACTTTTGCCAGACGTACAGTATGTAGCAGTGACTCTCAGGTATTATGTGGAAAAACTGCACTTTGTCTGCTTCTGCCCACTTACAGTCCTCCAGACTCCTTCTACCTTTTAGCGTGACGCAAAGTCCTGTTTCTTGAGCGCACTCGGAAACAAACGCAGGAGGACAAGCTATGATGGAGAGAAGTCGATGTTCCTAATGGAGCACTTATGCCTTAATGCCAGCCTCAATGAAAAAAAAAACAAACTGTAATGCCTTCTGTTTGTAAATGGCCTAAAGCAGCACACAGCACGTGGCAGGTACTGTTGTGGTAAATTGTTGATTAAAAAAAAAGATTATAGCGACCGATTTTGGAAATGATAGCTATCACCTTGTATGCATTCAATTAGAAGGATCTTTCTCTGGCACCTAAAGCCCTTTTTTCAAAGGGCTGGTTCTGGACCGGTCCTGGACTGGTTTTGGTAGCACTTTTTTTTCCACCATAGAAGAGCAAGTGCTGGTTTCCATAGCTACTCAATGTTTCCTCTTAGGAGTTAGGATTTGGTAGCTTTCAACATTTATTTTATTTTGTTGTTGCCTTATTTCAAGTTAAATTAACAAGTTTCAGTGCTTACTAGAGCAGTCAATTCGACGGCTTTTAGGGTTTGAAGTGTACGGAAGCTTGTTAGGTTCACTTGTGAGTGTGTTTTCGCTGGTATCATGTTATTTCATGATACTTTCATGA